TATTTTTAAGAATATTTAAATTTTGTGCAATAAAACTTTTTTATGGATGACATTGAAAAAGTTATAAAACTGAATAAATATTTTATGTTCATATTTTATTTATTTTTATATTAAATTTAAAATTTGTATTATATATATATATATATATATATGCTTATGTAGGACTTTGTAATAAATATATTATATAAAATATATCCGACTAAATGCTTATGTTTAAAAACATAAACATAAAATTGTTTATGTGCCTTTAGAGCAGCCGATAACCTTAATCTAATTTATCTTTGATACCATTAACATAATTATACTGTAGTGTCATTATTATTTCTAAACATTAAATATGTATCTTACAGAAATTGTTTCGTAGTTGTTGGTGCATTTCTGTGAAAATCGTCTTCTATTTCTAAGTGCTGTTAGGAGGCACTATTTATTCTACGTTCCCCGATTTTGTAAGTGCAGTTTGTTACCACTATTACAGTCAACGTTGCTAGTTAACTCACTGTCAAAAGTGCCATAAGAACATAATGCCATAAGACTGGCATAAAAAGTTCAAAAAATTATATTAAGTTTTTCTTTTTTTATATATAAGTGTGGTGGAAAAGTATTACTTTATATTAAAAACTTTTAATAACATAATTATTATTTTTTTTCTGTATATGTGCTAAGAATAAAATTAATATTATTAATATCACCATATTCTGCGTTTTATATTAATATATTTTTATTCATTTTAATAAATAATTTTATTTTATTTATTTCAAAAATTTTTTTTTCATTAATTTCTATTTATTATTATTTTTATTAAAGCTATTGGCGTGAAATCGCCGAGCGGCCGGTACTGCGACCAGAAGAGTCTTATAGTACCAATAACTTTTAATTATTATAATTAAACAATTTTCTTATCTAATTTATTTATTTATTTTATTTTGTTGCACAGGTTTGTGGCTGACGATATTTATTTAATTTAATATTTAATAATATTTATTTATTTTTTATTTTTTTTTTTATTTTTATAATTATTTATTCATTTCATTTTTTACTAAATTTTTTTTTTCATTAATTTCTTATTTAATTAATTTATATATTTGATTTTGTAACACAGGGTTTTGGTTGAAGATGTGTCGTACAAGACATAATGATTATATATCTAATATTATAATTACATCATATTAAAAGAGTAATTTATTATTAAAAAAATAATTTATTATTATATATATTTTATTATTTTAAAATTTATTTTTTATTCTGTTTCTCTATTACAGCGTTTTGTGATTGGGGAGAAATCCAAAATGTAAAAACAAATTACAAAAATTAGTAAGTTTCGTCTATTTTGTTTATTATATCTATTTATTACTTAATATAACCAGAAGGGTTAATGTTTCCATTAGCGGCTTTATATGTTTTAATATGACTAAAGCGTGTGAGTTTTCTATAACGAAATATTTATTAACCCAACTTCCCTTTTAAGGTAATACAAGTAAGAAAAGTATAAACTACGCTGAAGAGTTTAAGTATTTGAATATTGCATAATTATTATATGAAAATATTTGAATATATAAATATCGTTATTCTAGCATTTATTAGAGAATTTAGTGAATTATTTTAATATAAAAATAATATATTTAAAACTAAATAATTGAGGTAACAATTTTGCTTAGCTTCCGCATTTGCTTCTAATGACAGTTAATGTCACCTCTGCAGTGCGTAGCGTAGCGTAGGGTTGGTAAGTAAACTTAAATGTTTTTTTATTGCGTCAAGACATTACGTTTGATTTATTCGCATAAATTATAATATAATTTATTATTTTTAGTTATTAATTGTTTTTAAATTTTATAGCATATATTAAAGAATTGATTTTTTTATTACTTTATAATATAATTTATTATTTTTATTTATAAGTTATTTTTAAAATTTATAACATATATTGAAGATTTGTTTTTTCTTTATACCTTTTAAGTTTTATGTAATAATTAAATTTATTTTTCTAAATTTAGTTTTTATTTTTGCTCGAAAGACTGCAAGCAAAACTCAAGCCTTTCACTCTCCCTTAATCTTATCGCGTTACGTGAGGAAATTTTTAAAAATTTTATAAAACATTTTTAAAAACTTCCAAAATTTGTATAGTAATAAAAAAATCCATACACACAATTCAAGATAATAAAAATATAAATTTATACAACTGATTTGATCAGCTAAATTTAGATAAAAATTAAATAAAATTTAGAACATAAAAAAACTGCACTTCTGGCATTAAACGAAAATTTTATGTCAACCATAAACAAAGCAAAAAATAAGAAAAAATACCAAAAAAAAAAGTACCAAAAAAATTACCAACAACAAAGCGAAGGTAAATTTATTAGCAAAACGAAGGGACAGTCAGCGTTTATTTTGTCATATTTTGAACTTATAAAACAAAAACAAAAACAACAACAACACATATTAAAAACAACAACAACAACAACAATGCCTGCAAAACGTGTGCACGTACACATAACAAAACGAAGTTCAACAAACTCCCAAAAAAAACTCTGTCTTAAATATGTAAATTTATTTATATAATATATAAAATTCAAATATTTTTAAAATTTTTTTAATGAAAATCGAAAATAAAATTAATTTCTAAATTTAGAAATAAAAATCACACTGTAAAAATTTAAACTCTTCAAATTTTTTTTGATATTATGTAATGTGTTATAAACGTACGTCTATAGAAGACAAAAAAAAATAGAAAAATACGAGCTCTTCTTTCTTCCTATTTTAAACTTTTTAAAATTTTATTTTTCTTTTTATTTATTCAAAAAAATATAAAAAAAAACAATATATTTCATTGATTTTACTAAAGCAGCGTAACACCACGTTTTAGTCGAAATTCTAATTCTGGATTTAAAGCCACCACCAACAACAACAACAACGTAGGTATTTTCCTTTCCTTTTTTTTTTGTTTTGTGTTTGAAATAAAAGCGTGGCATGGTTTTGTTCTTAAGTTGAGCGAGTGACGTGATGTTTTTTGTTTTTTTTGTTAACAATTTTTTACAATAATTATTTTATTTTACTTTTTTAGTCGACACTCACCTGTGCCTCTGGCAATTTACGCGCAATTCTGTAGAGTGACATTTTTAATAATTAAAAGAGGAATATTTTTATGTTTTGTAAAAAAATTCCCGCAATTTAGAATGATATTTCTTTTAATGCTACACCACGAATTTTTATTTTTTCTGCTCTTAGTTTGGTTGAATTGGTTGAATTGGTTTCCCGACAACAACAAACACCACCTTTCACTTGCGAAGCACAACAGCACTACTGCTACTCAGTTCAGTTGGCCAAACAGCAGACAGCCTAATCGCTTCATTCATACCAAAGTGTGGAAACGGCAGCAGATAAGATTGTGCACCACACCACATGTTCATGTGCGCAAGCTTACAAATACATTGAGAAATAAATGTATTTTGTGGATTATATTTTCTACGCTCCAAACTAATAGTGAATTTGATTCTATAAATTGTATTTTATTCACTTGAAAAGACAACAAAACCAAGAATATTATTATTAATACTTTTTATTATATTAACAAATAATTAGTATATATAATAAAAGTAAAAATAAATAAATTAACCCTTCCACAATTTAAATGACCGGCAGCTGCTGCACACGTAAGAGGAGGCAATCGAGCTTCGACTCCGGTTTGCTCCAACACATATTTTAGTATTGCCAACACACTTTTTATTTGAAATCCACAAATTAAAAATTTAACATTTAAATATTATATTGTAATAAAAAATATTTAAAACTATTAATAAGAGTATTCGATCGCTTCGTAATGTTACTAAAATCAACAACTCTCTTGCTAAAGTCTCTTAAAGACATATAAATATAATATAAATATTCAAATTTAGCAATAGGAATATTTGAACGCCCCATAGTGTGGCAAACAATAACAATTCTCTTGCTTAAGTCTCTTAAAGATTTATAAATATAATATAAATATTTAAATTTATTAATAGAAGTATTAGATCGATCCATAGTGCAGTAAAAAACAACAACTCTCTTGTTAAAGTATCTTAAAGATTTATAAATATAATATAAATATTCAAATTTATCAATAGGAATATTTGAACGCCCCATAGTGCGGTAAAAAAATAACTCTCTTGTTAAAGTATCTTAAAGACATATAATATATATATTTAAATTTATCAATAGGAATATTTGAACGCCCCATAGTGCGGCAAAAAACAACAATTCTCTTACTAAAGTTTCTTAAAGATTTATAAATATAATATAAATATTTTAATTTATCAATAGAAATATTTGAACGCCCCATATTGCGGCAAAAACAACAATTCTCTTGCTTAAGTCTCTTAAATTTATATAAATATAATATAAATATTTAAATTTATCAATAAGAGTATTAGAACGCTCCATAGTGCAGTAAAAAACAACAACTCTCTTGTTAAAGTATCTTAAAGACATATAAATATAATATAAATATTCAAATTTATCAATAGGAATATTCGATCGCTCCATAGTACGGTAAAATACAACAAACTCTCTTATTAAAGTATCTTAAAGACATATAATATATATATATTCAAATTTATCAATAGGAGTATTAGAACGCTCCATAGTGTGGCAAAAAAACAACAATTCTCTTGCTTAAGTCTATTAAAGACTTATAAATATAATATAAATATTTAAATTTATCAATAGGAATATTCGATCGCTCCATAGTACGGTAAAAAACAACAACTCTCTTATTAAAGTATCTTAAAGACTTATAAATATAATATAAATATTTAAATTTATCAATAGGAGTATTAGAACGCTCCATAGTGCAGTAAAAAAAAACTCTCTTATTAAAGTATCTTAAAACATATAAATTTAATGTAAATATTTAAATTTATCAATAGGAGTGTTCGATCTTTTCGAGGTGCGGCATAAAAAGAACAAGTCTCTTGCTAAAATTTTACTTTCTTTTTATGTTCCTATTAATATTTTTATATTTGGATGGTAAATAATTTTTTAGATTTCTTTTATACCCAAAGCTAAAAAAGAATATAAAAATTAATATTAAAGTAAAATCAATTTACTGTAGTTTATAATTCACCCTTATTCTTTGGGCTGTGTTTTCCTTAAGAAAGCTCTCTCACAATACTCAAGACTTCCAATTGAGATTCTTATTCCTAGAATTATTTGTAGAGATAATACTTTAACATCTGCTTATATTCATAAAATATCCGAACCTGCTTTAGGACTTTGTCTGGAACATCTGCGTCATACCTACAAAACGTACTTCTTTTATTCGGTTGCATTTCCTTTTAGACAGCTTTTTTGCTCAGACTTTGTCTGGAACATCTGCGTCATACCTATATAACGTAGTTCTTTTTTTCGGTTGCATTTCCTTTAAGACAGCTTTTTCGGTCATTCTTGTGGCATATTCGAATAACCCCTTAGGTTTTGTCTTTAACATCTATGCCATGCCTACATAACATACTTTCTTCCTTTGGTTTCATTTTTCTTAAGGCAGGTCTCTCGCTCATTGATGCGACATATTCG